CTGTAGGTATTAGTGAAGCAGTGATGGTCTCGGTCCCGACTCCTGGTTTACGTGGTATTGGATATAGTATGCTAGGGCATGGCTGAGAGAATCTCGCAGGTGGGATGAGGTTGTATTGGCCCTCAGACGTATTCTGGAGTTATATGGGGGAATTTTCCGATTTGGTTTTTCTCTCTTCACGCGCGTCATACACTCCTTCCTGTTCAACGCCGGTGTTCTGGAGAAAACACAAAATTTTGGGACTATTAGTCGGGAAGTAGAGGAATTCGGTGAGGTGGTAGGTAGCCAATGAGAGAAAGGTGGTGGGAAGGGGACACCGCTAGTTCACCCGTCCCAAGCTGTGCCTCGTTGGTTATCCCATCGGCCGTCAAGTCTCTCGTTTGGAAGTCGAAGACTTATGCACCCTTGTAGGTAGAAGCATCGTTGGAAAATCCCATTTAGGGTCGTTCTCGGTCAGTAGAGAGGGGGGCGAGTTCTGTCGATGGGCTCCTATACGCGACTCCTCAAAGAATCTTTCGAGTCGCAAGAAAATTTAGTACTTCTCATGCGCCAATCCACATCCGTTCCTCAGCATAACAGCTGAGCCCGTTTCTCTTCCTCATCACTCTGAATGTCGTTGCGAAGGGACTCATGGAAGGACCACTTAAAACCATCCTCTACTTTGACGACATCGCCCTGATAGCGGACAGCAGGGAAGAACTCCAGGACAAGGTGCAGCGGTGGCAGGATGTGCTCGCTGAGAATGGACTCCGGTTGAACGTGAAGAAGACCAAGTTCCTGAGCTCCGAAGAGTGTACCGAAGCCATCGTGGACAGCCACGGTGGAGCATCGGCGGGGTTGAGGACTTGCAGTGCCTGGAGAGTGATGTAGCAGCTGATGGTGGACCGGCAAAACTGTAAAGCTCGAATCAAAGTGCAACTGTGGGTGAAATGGGGAAATGCCAACAGGCATACTGTGCATGAAAGTGCGGTTCTCAGAACCTTACAAACTGCCCGAACACCCCACTTACAGAACTTAATTCTGGCAAGTGTACCGGGCAGTGGTAAGGTCGCATTAAGAGTGCTTATTACCATTGAAAGGGCAGCTCCACTCAGCTGAAAACTAGGCTGAAGATGGGCCTGCCGTTGGGGCCCGAACCGACAGGAGTTCAGAAAACGTCAGGGACGTTTCACCGGAGACGCGTGGCGCCGGACTGCCACTGCAGAAAATGAGCAGACATGAGAGCAGCAACTGCGACGTTTTGCACGTAGGCCACCCTGATAAGGAAGGCATTGGAATTCGAAGTAGAGGGCAAGCGACCACGAGGAGCCCCAAAGAAAAGATGGAGGGACGTCATCAAGAAGGACCTCACTGAAGTGAAAGCCACGGCAGAAGATCGGAACAAGTGGCGACGTCTAACAAAAACAGCGGACACTGCGACGACGCGTCTAGGGATGAGAAGAAGAAGGAGATCCAAATGCTGTACCCTGCTTGGAGAAGAGTGCCTAGTTCCAAAGAATGATGGGTATAACGGCTACTTGGAACATCTAGGGTTCAGGCCGCAGTGCTTGCGAAAAACGCTTGGGATGAGCACAAGTTAGCACTAAATAGCACAGTTAGCACCATTTAAACTCAGTAGTTAGTTTCGCAGCAGACTTCGGAAGAGCAGTGAAATCTTTTCAGAAGAGGGGAACCTTTCGGTCTGGGTGCGGGATAGTGACCCGCTTACTTGGGGAGAAGGAGGGGAAGAGGAGGAGGCATAACAACAGTGAAGTCTGGTCTGGATGATGGGAATCTGTCCAAATCATTTGCACGAGCCAGGGTTGAGCATGGGGTATATACGCTGGATGATTAGAGGAACACAATCGTTACTTTGATTTCCATGCTATGAGAGGCACATCGAGGATGTTAAGAACCCCTTCAAGTGGTGAGCAACCATCGGTTGGCGGGGGAGGGGACAGCTTCAAAGCCTCCTTGTGCAAACTAGAATTATCATCCGAATAGCATTACCTTGCCTAGAAGCGGTTTGTTCCTCCTTCCTCCAAATTCTGCCCCTCGCTAGGTTACTACCCCCGCAATTGAAGGATGGATACCTGTATCAGTGGAGTTTCGAGTGCTCATGCAAAATCGCTATCTGAACCTCCCAAACGAGCCAGAAAG